CTGTTGGTTACCAGCGAAGAATCTGCTAAGGAGCTATCGTAGCACAGCACTTTTAAAAAGCTACTACTGTTCCTCAAAATTTGTACTATATTTTGGTTAGACTAAATAATAAATGTGTATATATGATAATTATTAATTTAAATCTCATAATTATGACAAAGCATGCTTAATTTTTTTTACTTTCACAAGGCGGAAAGGGGCCTTCATACACTAAGCATTTTGGCTCTACAAGTAATGAGATTATCAGACTATATTAAGAGTGAGTAATGCCTGAATACAGAGCAACCAAAGCCACCATTATTAAAAGAACAAGTTGATTAGGCAACCATAGCACCAAAAACAGAAAGACAAGAAGGGTAGAAAAATAAATACCTCAGCATTGGCAAACATCTGCAGAAGCAAGAGAAATCAGATAAAAGGAAAGTTAGTTGAAGAAGTCCACCATCACCTTCACCGAAGTGTCAGCAGAAGCGCATATATTCGTGTTCATAGCTGTAAGTAATGATTATCATGCTTTCATTGAAAACCTCAAAAATAAAACTGTATTTACAATTCTCCCATGTTAGCCTAAAAAGCTAGCAGAGTGCTGGCCAGGTTGTTTCAGTCTATTAAGGGCTTCAATCATTTATATTTCATTATGTGTTACAGAATCAAATTAATTTATGGTCATCCTAATTCATTATACCACAGACGCAACAGAGGATGAAATGTGAGACAGCAGAGTGACATTTTCATTGCGAGCTACGTCAGCGTCTCAGAGGCGGACATCTTAATAACTTCGCTTCATCCACAGAGAAATAAAAGATGTCATTACTAAATCATAAATGTCATAAACGTTATATGGCTTTGCGTGGGTGTGTGGGTTCTGTATGTGTGTGTTTGTGCCATTTCAGGATAATACTGACATAGGAAATTAAATTCTCAAATCCCATCATGCATATTTGATACCACTTTTAAGAGGACGTTAACAGTCATCTATAGTCAGAATGATGGACCCCCCTGCCCCAACTTTTGCATTTCTTAATCATATGTTTCCAACTTTGTCTTTTCCTCAGTTTGATACCTGAGGCACGATCATATTTGAGCTGAAAAGCAGGAAACTCAACGATATTGTTGTATTCAAATCTGAAATTGGTAATTGAAAGTTCCATGTTCCAAATTGAAAAAAAGATTAGATCCACCATGAGAGATGGAGCAGTTTTTGTTTTTTTTTCTTTGTTTTTTTTTTAATGAACCTTACATTTTAAATGCTTTTGGATAACAAAGAGTTTGCTTTTGGTAAAGTATGTGTTA